GGTGTAAGCTACCGCCAAATAGTGAATCCCCAACCAAAAAAAAAAAAAAAAAAACACTATGAAAAATTTAAAAAAATAGGTTTTTAAAGTAAAAATAACAGCAATACATTTCTATATATAAAAATGACCCAAAATACTTATTTATAGTAAAATTATCAACATTCTATAGCAGAATTACCAAAAATATATTTTATAGCAAAATGGCCAGAAATAGATTTTATCTTTAGTTGAAGTCATACAATTGCGTTTAAAATAGTTGAAGTCATAAAATTGTGTTGAAAATTTTTAGATTTCGGCAATAACAGATCGCGGCATCTATCAGATGATATTTAAATTTATATTATTGCATTATAACATAATTTTAACACATCAGCTGACAGCTATTAATATCAACAACTGAGCACAAATAGTTATTAATAAAAAAAAAAGTAATTAATGTATAATATTATCGATAACAACGTGTACAAGAATGTTGTTTTTGATAAAAGTTAAAAAATAATCATAAATACATGATTTTGTATCAAATAACATTTTCAATTATTATCATGGCATAACATATTCGATCAAATTGATAGTGAGTGTTTCTTTCTATTTTGCTATATTTAAACTATATATACCAGTAAAATGTTCATATATATATATATATATATATATATATATATATATATATATATATATATATATATATATATAAGTGAACATTAAAGTCAACACTCAGAGGCGACAGGCTGTTTCATGTTAGACGCAACCCACTTCACTGTTCACTTTTATATTTATATTTACATACGCTCTATCTCTGATATTGAGCACTTCACCCCATAAATATAGCACACCTTAAATATATTTCTTCATATATATATATATATATATATATATATATATATATATATATATATATATATATTGTTCATACGATAGTTGTATGGATACAATTTGTTTAAGTAAATAGTGTGTTTTTAATTAAACAATGTTAATTACATTTACTTGAATGTTCCAGAAATTTCATAGATAAATTGCTTTCTCCGACAGGAATCGAACCTGTATTCCTATACAAAAACCGTCATTTGCCCTGACGTGCTGTAAGATTCTGTTACAGAGAAGTGTCTGGTGAACAAAGTCTGAATTACTGTTTGTAAACACACAATCTTCGACGATATTTCTCGATTGATCATATCTGCTCACGAAAGGTATCTTAACGTAAACAATGACAACATATAATAAAAATGGATTAAATCCGATAATTATTTAATATATTTTCTGTTTGTACGTTATATTTATAGACACTATTTAAGTAAATGCTCTGTCTTTAATTAAACAGCATTAATTACATTTACCGGCCTGAATGTTCAAGAAATTTCGTAGAAAATATACAAAATGTAAGTAACATTGTTTAATTAAAAACAGACCATTTACTGAAATAAAATGTATCTATAAATAACGTATAATATTCCAAAATAGAAAACCCAATGAATCCAAAGAGTATATTATCCTGCCAACTAAGTCTATCATAGCTACAATTGAAAAGAAATTATCTAAACTCAACATAAATATTGTTACAACTACATCTAAAACAATAAAAGACTTAGTCAATACTAAACAAAACAAGAAGCTAAAACTTGAAGGAGGAATTTACAAGATCGCCTGTAATGATTGTCACAAAACATACATAGGTGAAACCTCAAGGAATTTAAATAAAAGATTATATGAACACAAAAGGGGCATTTTACAGATCAACCCATTAAATGCATTAGTTACTTACCGTAATGAGATAGACCACAATTTTGATATAGAAATGCTACTCTGATCAAAGGAGAAAACAATTCACTAAAACGAAAATGTTTAAAGAGTGCTTTCATTGCAAGGACATCCTTGGTAAATTTGCGACCAGGCTCTTACAGCATTTCACCATTCCTGGCAGATCTTATATTATCACAATGTGGGACATCTAATGACCAAAGTGATGGAACAAAAAGAAAAAGAATCTAAGGGAAATAGGCCCAAAACACACACAAGAAATTAAATTTAAAATTCCCAGAATCCCTTGTTCGTGCGCATGTGTAGTCGCACCAAAGTGAACAAATTTAGTCCGATGAAGTCCTAAAGGACGACACGCATCACACGAAAACTTTTTCCAATTTGCCATATATATATATATATATATATATATATATATATATATATATATATATATTCCACATATATATATATATATATATATATATATATATATATATAGAGAGAGAGAGAGAGAGAGAGACAAGAGAGACAGAAAAAGAGTGAGAATTTATACAAGCAAAAGATTTGTCACTTAGCTGCTTGATGTTACCTTCAACATCCCGACTCTCAAGTTTCGTAAACGAACCCTCCGGGAATCACTCCGTTCACTCGTCGGGGGATGATAGAGAGAGAGAGAGAGAGAGAGAGAGAGAGAGAGAGAGAGAAATGAACGTACTTTATTCCACTGGTTGCCCCAGACACATGGCCTTGTACCAGACAAAGATTAGCAAATATCTTGATTGATTGATTGATTAACTGATTTGTTTTCTACGGGATATTTAAAGCCAGAAATATTTTTAGATTGTATGATTTTTTTTTTTGTATGTGTAGTAAGATAATAATAGTCTAGTGATAAAAGTCTTACTATTTAACTCATAGGTGGGTGGAGAAGTGATGGATTCTTACCTTTACCAAGGGTATTTGCGCATAAATGAATATAACGATTCCAACTAACTGGGATTAGAACTCGGCTCTCCGATTAACTATTCCGAGCCATTATATATTACACCATCCGCACACCCAAGCTTACAGCACCTGATTAGTAAATATCTCTTAACATCTTTAATGGGTGATTTTTTTTTTTTTTTTTTTTTTGAATGACGATACATTTACTTATAGAAAATGTCTCCGAAATAGAACGCCAGCCTCCAATGGATACGACTTTTATAAACTGTTTCTTTTCATTTCTTTTTTTTTTTCGCTTATCTACCCCCCCCCCCACACACACCTTTTTTGTGACTTCTACCCGTTCCCGCTTTGATGCCTTCAATTTCTTTGTTCCATTATCAGTAAACTCGGAATCCTCCTAAGTCACGACACCTGGTCACATTCCCGTCTATTTTCATTAACTCAATGATTCTCGCATCATCATCATCACTGTAATTTTTTTTTTTAAATCTACCCGTAACCCTCGCTGACATCAGTTTAAAAACGGCTACTCTTTGCCCTCCTTCCTTTCTTTCTTTCTTTCTTTCTTTCTTTCTTTCTTTCCTTTTCCTTTCAAAATCGCAAAGTCCGTTTTTGAACTTGGGGTCACCGGAATATATATTTTTAGGTGTAGGCTTGGGGTGGGGAACACAATGACCCCCATACCATGACAAACCCCCTCGGCTCTAACATGGAAAAAAAATTTACGGCATGCGATTTCTGGTGTGAATTTCATTCAAGCGTGATAACATCAACGTGCAGGCTCACCTGCTTACAACCGCACACGTATACACACGCACATACACGCATGTATATTATATATGTGAAGGTAAGTACCTTTTACGGTTGGTTGATTTTTGAGAATGCGTTCTCCATTAACTACAATATATTGATATAACTGAAGAGGTCTTTTTCATTTTCTTTCTTTTGTGTGTGTGTGTGTGTATGTTTTCGTAAAACTAGAATGATGTGGTCTATACGCATCTTTTTCTATCAGAATATTCATTGCTTATTTTACACCGGCATTTTTAATCGGTGATCGAATCGGGATAAAAGCGGAATTTAAATTCTGATTTTCAAGGTAGGCCACATTTTTATTTTTTAATCGTTTCACCCGAGTAAAGGCGATAATGCCACTAAGACGCAAGAGCTAACAGGGAGCAAAAGCGAAAAAAATGAGAAGACTGAGAATGTGGGCGGGGAGGTTAAGAAAGGTGGGAGTGGGGAGGAAACACGGTTCAAGAAGACAGAAGATGGCGATCGACGTTACATTTTAATTTTTTAAAGATTGTAGTTGTCAGGGAAGCAAGAAATCGGAAGGGATTTCCACAGGTGGGAAGTGCGAAAAAAACTGTGAGAGTAGAAGTGACGGTTGCATCTAGCTAGTTCAGCAGTAAAATGGTGAGACCTTATTACCTATCTTGTAGCACGCTTCATTCATTGACCCATTACATATAACACTAAATTTTAGTTTCAAGTAATCCTTGTTCTCCCCGGTCTTTTGAACAGATTTATCCCTTGTTTCCTGTTTAGGATTGAGTTTCCGGTTTATCCCTTGTTTAATGTTTAGGACTGGGCTGCCAGTTCCTTCTAAAGTCTATTTCAACTCTATGCTTCTAACCTCTCTGTCTAAGCATTTAAATTTTATTTACTGTTTACATATTTTTTGTTTCCCATTAGGAGCAGATGGGTTCGCCTGTTGTCCGGTTCACACAACTACACGGACTTTTGAACAGGAGCAGAAGTTTATCCCTTGTTTCCTGTTTAGAAGAGGGTTTCCCGTTCCTTCTAAAGACTTTTACATCCTTTTCACTTCCGGTAGACGCTTGCGTCTTGCTTGGAGTGAATTGATTTTTTTAAAAATAAACACATAAAAAAAACAGAACGCAATATGTCTGTTCGTTAGCAAATAGGACAGCTCAAGATACGTGTTACAAAATGGCGACTTGAGAAGTGTTTTAACGGGATACAGAAAATGTGACATCGAAATCCGAAGACGCATTGAAATACTGAAAGGTAGCTTTCAAAAGCTAAGTAAAGTATTAAGAAACGGGAAATTTTCGTTAGAAACAAAGAAAAGAGTGAACTGCTATATGACATCGATGCTCCAATATGGCAGTTAATGCTGAACAATTTCCTCCCAGATGTAACTGAAGGCAACTGGGCTGTGATTCTACAGAAGACAAGAATACCATAGACTGAGCATGTGCGCAACAAGGAAGTTTTAAGGAAAATAGAAGCAAAAATAGGACACATATTTCGAATCAGAAAGGGAAAGTTCGAATTTCTGGTACGGTTTACGGCCATATCACGTTGAAACAGCGGTTCCCGTAAGATCACCAAAGTTAAGCTACGTCGAACCTGGTCAGTACCTAGATGGGTGACTGCTTGGGAATATCAGGTGATGAAAGCTGGGATGTTAGGGAGGTATAATTCATAATGGCTCGGAATTTTTAATCGGAGAACGGAGTTTCATTTCCAGTCGGGTTCGTTATACACACTCATGCGCAAATAACCTTCGGGAAGGTATGAACCCACCTCTCTTCCCCCAGCTATGGGTTAATTAGTAAGACTTGTACTACTTAATCATTATTATTTCCGCCCGCAAAAAAGGAGAAATTCTTAGAATCTAGAATTATTTTCTGGAATTAAATAACCTGAAAAGAGTTGATAATCCGTAAAAAAGTGAAAGAGTGAAGCACAGATTAACATGACTATTGAGTTTTTGTAAGTGTATGGCAGAACAGGGACGGGGGAGGATAGTGAAAAAACAAACATTGCTAAGATCTACAAAGGATAGGAAGATGTGGAGAACCATAATCCCCCACCTCTTGAATGGACACTGCATATAAAAGGAGAATAAAAATCCTGATGAAGATGTCATCTACGGATCTTAACTATCTTGGAAAATATATATATATATTTCCAATAGATAATCTGATGGAGATATTGACTTTCTGTACACAAACAACACACTTCGGAATGGGATCACACATATATCGACAGGATGAGGGCTTAGCAATGGGTTCGCCATTATCACCAGCAACGGCGAAAATATACCTGGAATACTTTGAGGAAATGGCATTAGAATTTATATCTCTAAAGCCAACTCTATGGTTAAGGTACGTAGATGACACCTTCATACTCTGACCACACCAGGAAGATGTTCAGGTTCTACTAGACCATGTGAACTCAATATGACCTTCGATACAGTTCACGATGGAGAAAGAGAGTAACAACACATTCCCTTTCCTGGATGTTCTAATATCTCGAACAGAGCATGGGTTCAAGACATTCGCATACCGCAAACCGATATTCACCGGGCAGTACCTCAATTTCAACTCCCACCATCCATACAGGGTAAAGAAAGGGATCGTCCGCTGCTTACAACACCAAGCAAAAGTCATAAGTGGTGACCCAGAGACATTAGATAAAGAATTGGTCAGTGTAAGCAGTACACTACAACGTAACATGCGTGCATGACAGCAGCCCCAAAAAAACTGGGATAGGCGTGTAAAAGAGGAGGACAACAACACCCAGAAAACAGTCTACCTGCCTTATGTGAAGGGGTTATCGGAGAAAATACATAGTATCTGCGGTCCATATAACATCAGGACAGCCTTCAAAAGCTGGACGACATTTCGTAGATACCTCTCCGGATTAAGTCTCCCCATAGATGAGAACATAACTAAAGACTGTGTGTATGCCATCCCGTGCAACTTCGGAAAGAAATATAAAGGGTGGGGGGGGGCAGGTCGCCCCCTTAAGGTAAGGCTTCAAGAATACCAAAATGCTGTAACACGAGGGGAAGTTGAAAAATTAGGCGAGGCTGACCACATATGGAGAGAAGAGAGATCACCGCTCTCTGTGGGATCAGGTTGAAATCATAGACAAAGAACATCATTGGAAAATTCGCAAACTTAAAGAATCAGCACATATGCTAGGCCACAAAAATCTCCTGAGCCGACCAAGCATAGAAATGAATACAATATGGGAACCAGTAATAAGGAGTGTCAGAGAAAATCAATAATAACAATGAAAATTGCAATATCAGCTCTGTTAAAAAAAAGGGTAAAATGATAACAGGATCGCCTGGAACTGCGTCCGATGGAATGTTGTTGTTGTGCCCCTATGTTCCGCAAGGAATCAAGAGGCATAATATATATATATATATATATATATATATATATATATATATATATATATATATATATATATATATATCAGATTGTCGATTTATTTTGCCAATCAATTCGAACTTTATAAAATGGTAAATAATGAGGATTTCTTTATAGGTGGTTCACCTATTTTAATAATATAATATTTATAAGTTTATGAATAAAAACTTGTCTTCATATTTATTTCATTATAAATTTGTAAATCATAAACATAGGATCTTTCAATAACTTGGGCCGATTTTAAGTGTGAATTAAGTTGAAGATTAACAATCAAAGGTCACTGTGCATTTTTTTGCTGGCAGAATCATTGGGCCGTATATTTATAAATTTGAACGTCCATTTTCGTAATAGGCTTCGATAGCTTTAACACGTTGTTTGATTGTTAATCTTTCCAGGGTTGAAATTGCCAAAGACTTAAGTTGTTCAATCTGAAAGAAAAAGAAAAAAAATCATTAGACGCTTAAACTTAATTCACATTTAAAATCGGCCCAAGTTATTGGAACACCCTATGTTACATTGCATCAGTTTAATAGAATTGTATTAGTTTTTTGGAATATTCTAAATATAAAAATTATTCTTGTAAATAAACAATCTAATAAATAAATAGTGATTAATATTTTTGCTGTAAATTTTCAAAAACAAAAACATAGATAAATTCAACTTCGTCATGCGTTGAGCTTTTTTTACACTTCCAATTATCGCTTTTTGAAACAATAAACATTGTCAAGGAGTGGTTAAAATGAATCAGTGTCATGGAAAAAAACATCCTTTGACATTCGAGCACGAAGGTCAATGTGTAACCACATTTCTGTTTCCTTCAGTGTCTTTATCTAGGAAGAGACTGTCCAATATTCACTATCATACAGGCGGGGGAAGGCGATGTTACATAACATTTCGTCACCCTTTTCTTTGTTTTTAACGAAAATGGGGTCTATATCTGTCTTTTGTGACTGTCTGTGAATGTTTCCATTTTCTCATATGGATCTGAAACGTGGCCACTGTTGGTAGATACTGAGAGAAGGATCCAAGCGTTTGAGAACAAATGCATGAGAAAACTCCTTGGCATTTTCTATTGGGAACAAAAAAAAACCCCAAAAAACAATGAGTTTGTGCGGAAAAGGCTTCAAAGTTTTATGGAACACCAGGAACCTCTTTTCGCCACTGTCAAACGGAGAAAAATGGCGTGGTTTGGACATGTTACAAGGTCCGACAGATACCAAGACCATCATGCAATGCACCGTTGAAGGTGGACGTAGGAGAGGACGCAAGTGGAAAAAATGGTGTGGACAATGTCAAACAACGAACAAGTATGACTGTACCAGAATTGCAGATGGCTGCCGTTGATAGGCTGTCGAGGAAAAGAGGTAGTGTGGATTTGGATCTGCCCTACGATTACAAAAGTCAAGGGGAAGATGATGATGATGATGATGATGGCGATTGTTTCGATGTCTGGAGTTAAAGGGTGTATATGAGTCGTTGTGACTCTTTCTCTCTCTCTCTCTCTCTCTCTCTCTTACTCTGTATGTATATGTGTGTTCCTTGTAATAAAATAATGGCGTTACACGTGTTTCTTCACCGTGATATTAGAGACAGTTGTTTCACACTGTTATTAGGAGCGAGTAGAGACTTCCATCAAAAGTCAGAATTTTTGAATTCTGATTAAAAAAAAAACCCCAAAAACAGCAAGGTTTCTCGATGTGGTAACCTTTAATACAAACAGCCCCCTCTCTACCCACTTTCTCTAGCTTAACATATTTTTATATGTAAAAGTTAAAAGTAGACACTTAAAGGATAAATTGGTGTCTATTTTGTAGTATGTCAGAAAAAAGATATCAGTATTTCTTACTGATTTCAGTGACTGGTGTTCTAATCCAGACAAAATTTAAAGATAACGTCGTATGTATAACTAGCAGCATGGGCCGGCGTTGCCCGGGCTTGATTCAAAAATCGTACGACTCATACAGCAATCGCTATCACTTGACTTAAAATATTTTTGCTCTTCCTTGCCTTTAAAGGAGTGTCCTTTGCTGTGCTGATGTTGCTACATGCCTTACTTCTTGCCTATCTCACACAGTGAATTTTTTCTAAGCTCTATACTAAACATTAAATCTGTTACGAAAAAAGAACTAAACAAAATGAACACAAAACGATCAGCTTTAAAAAAAGGACTCGTAACTGGAAAAACCGAATGAAAAAGAATGTTAACAACAAATACTTTTTCACACCTAACCCAGTTCAGCGGAATCAGAATCAACGTTGAGTTTAAGCAAGCGAATGAGCCAATTGCAGTAAAGTGTCATGCAGATTTAAATTTTTCCCACTTGTGACGAATGCAGCTATTGATTTTTTTTTTTTTGCATGCTAGTTAATATTCGTGTCAGTCAGCTGTTGGCTCTTACTCTGGCCAATAGAATCTTCCTGCCTATTCGTGGCAGCCAGCTATAGGCTCTCACTCTGGCCGGTAGAACATGGCCGTAAAGTACATGAAAACTGCCGTAGAAGCATGAAAAAATCGATTATTTCCACTATCGATGGGAGTTGGGATATGCAAGTTCGGTGTTGGCCTTCCCGCTAACTTGGATCTTTTGCATGTAAATTTTGGTGCAAATCCGTTGAAAATTGCGGCCGTGCATTCGTTACACACACACACACACACACACACACACACACACATATATATATATATATATATATATATATACATCCTGCCTTTTATACATAGAGATGAACCCAGTGAGGATTGAACTCTCTAAAGTAGGGCAAAATAAAAAAAAAAACTTCCTTGCTAACCCGCTGATCAAGAAGATTTCGACTAAAAAGCACTAAGTGACGTCATATGTATAATGAACCCAATGAGGATCGAATTCTTTAAGTAAGGGCAAAGTAAAAGACTTCCTTGCTAACACGATGATCAAGAAGATTTCGACTAAAGTTATAAAGCTCCAAGTGAGGATCGAACTCTGAAGAAACTGGTTTGTGAATCAAGCTTGCTTACCACTGCTTTACGATTTATGGATAAAGAAAAAATATCGTGATAGAGCGGGGCCTGATTAAATTGACGTGAACCAATAACCAGAACATCATCAAGTACACATTCCTAAATAAATTCTTTTCGGGTAGATTTTAACGTTAGGTGCAGGGTGGACAGCAGCTGGCTAGGTCGATGGGCTGGGACAACCGGATTTTTACGGTTCAAATAATATTGTTAAATCGGGGATACTGAAATCAATCT